TATAATATATAAACGTGGAGAAACGCCTCTAAAGGAGCCACATACCCTAAAAGAAGAAAGAATAGTTTTTATTATGTCTGAAACAGGTTAAGAGAAAGTTTTATCATCTGAGCCTTTCAGTAATTTTGGCAGGCTGAATCTGTCAAATATAATTAATTAATTAATTTTTGAAGGATCCTTGTAACAAAACTACAACAACTGCAACAACTTTTTTGTGGGATAACTTTTGGATTGACATTTACCTTATTTTCTTGTTGCTGTCTGCTATTTTTTTAAAATTTGGTTTTTTAAGCATTTTCAAAACAGAGAAAATTTCATTTACTGTTATTGGGTACCGCTGTAGAATCGTTTAGTGGACCTCAGGCGCAAGGGAAATTTTGATTACAAGAGAACACTAAAGAGAACTGACAAAAATCTTCATATAGCAAATTTCAACAATGTTCCTAAAATAATTTTACATTACTGAATGATGTTTCAATTTCTTCATATCAACATTTAAATTAAAGTTTTGCCCATTTTGTGACATAGGTAAATTAATTTTCAATTTGGTAGACTGGCCCAAATTACAAGGAGGACCGTGTTACCACCATCTAAAAGTACAGAATTTAAGACCCAATGAATTTTCAAATCTTTTAGAATTTTGCCAATGGATACACAATCATCATGAAATTTTGGACAAAATTTTATGGTCTTACAAGGCAACATTTTCACACTTTTAAGAGTTACAGCGCACACTACTGGAATAATGACAATATGCGGGTTGTTCGAAGAACAAACTTCCAAAATAATTTAATTAATACAAATAAATTAATTTCTTTAAATAATCGGGCCGAATTTTTAGAGAATATTCCCCTACTCATTTGGCCATGTTCTTTCAGCAGGTCATTTTGAATAGAAACTGGTTAGATGAAAATTTTGAAAACAAGCGGATAAGTCGAGATGGTCCAGTAAATTGGCCAGTTCGGTCACTTGACCTAAACCCACTAGATCTGTGGGGTAATGTGTGTAACTCTATATTTGACAGAGAAGATTTACTAAAGTGAATTAATGATGCTAGAAATCAAATTATTAACAATCGTTTTGACATGCTTCGTGCATCTCAAAATACTGAAATAAAATAGCGACTACGTATTCGAAATAATGGAAATGTGTTTGAGAACTTAATGTAAATTAGTGTTGTTTTCATTGGTAGCCGTTCAATACGGAATTGAATCAATTAGATTTACTTGTGATTGATATTTTATTTTTTCAAATGAAAATCAACAAACCTATTAATCAGGTTTTAAGGCTTGCTTTTCAATTTTTGATTAATTAAAAAGCGTATTTTTGAAATTTATTTTGCTTGCAAACATGGCAATATCGATCTGGTGTAGCCTTTTCTTGAAATGGAAAATAACTTTTCCGATCTTATAAGAAAAAATGTAAAAGTCAACCCACAAAAAGTTATTACGGAAATTTTAGAATCAGGTTGAGGCGGAAATATTAATAAGAAATAATTTAGTAGGTTTCTCGACATTTATTTGCATAGAAAACTAGGAATAATTCTGGACGTAGAATATACTGTTGGACCATTAATTTGCGGACACCCTGCATATTTTTGATTTAAAACAGTTTGGACCAGTATTTTTCAAAATTAACTAAAAAAAATTATGGAAAAATAGAAACGCATCATAATGGGGAAGGCCACGAATGTCAAAAGTTAGTCCCAATACCCACTCCAGATAAGATTTTAATAGAGCTCGACACTCGTTCTGTTGAAAACTAGAAAACTTTTATGGAGTACTTTAAAGAAATATGGATTTTGTCAGGAAAAAGCATAACAGTAAAGGACTTTTACGGGAAAGCTATGAAAGCTAAGACAGCACCGGAGAGACCAGAAAGGAATATTTTATCTTTATGAAACGTGGTTTAACGAAGGTTATATAGTATCAAAAATATAACCAGTGCACATTAACAGAATAGATTGTCATTACCTGAAAAAATTGCTTCCTTTAATTTTGCATATGAGAGAGCGGGAAATTTTCCACATAGGCATTTAAAACATGCTCCATCTTTATTTAAAGCTTTAACGTACTGCTTCATCAGTCCTAATTAAATATGCAACGGTGGTACGAGAATTTTTTGTGGATCAATAAAACTATCGTGAGAATATTTTTTGATCCTGGAGTTACCTTTTTGGTAAGTTCCTTTTCACCTAAGGTTGGTCTCTGTTTCTACTGTCCAACTCACCCAAGGAACAGGGCAGGGGTACTCCATATAACCCAGTAGAAATCCCAAAATTTTACAGTCAATACAAATCATCGAACTATAATTCTGGTATATGATTTTCTCAAGCAGATTGCTCCCAAACCCGTGCGGAAGGAAAGAAGGAAGTATTCTCGGTCCCATCGTTTATAGTATATTTCATAATGCATCCAATTCTATAGCCCTGTCATTCTGTAATGATGACATTTGAGAAGATTTAACGGAACGTATGAAACCCAGAATGCAAATTCATGCAAAAACTTAGGTCTTCTGAATTTAATATTTATGCTAGAAACTAATTTAACATATGCAACGAAAAGTTTATTTGTGCCGAAGAAATTTAAGTGTCAAAGAATGTGCATGAATATCATCCAAGCCAAATTTCTAGTCGATGGGATTGTTAAAGTGGCCATAAAGTTTCGTAATAAAAAAATGCTATTGAACTAGAAATGTCACCCAGGTGGAAAGTGCTCTAATAAATACAAACTCTAAGATTTGAGTTTTTTTAAATCTGATAGGAGAAGCACTTTTTCAAAAATTCTTTTTTATGAACAGGTATTTTTAACAAACATTGTATACGAATATTTATGTTATGAACATCAAGCCATATATTATTATATATTATTAGGAGCTCTTTTCTGCATTATTTATACAGAAGATATGGCGGGTTGCTTTGGTAATTGATAATGAAGTCAGATTTCGTACAGAGGTTTCCAAAATTCTCCAAAAGACTTATAATAATAATAATAATAATAATCTCCGCAACATCTATAAATATATCTAAATTACTGTATTTTTTTCTATGGAACCCGATAGGATTTTCCGACAAAATATAAATTACAAAAAGTACACAATTACTGTATTCGATTTATTTATAACCTTAAACGAAGAGATCATATAAGTCCTAAACTTCACGAATTAAAATGATTAAATATATCGAGCCGAATAGAATTAAATTTTACATGTTTTTTTCACGGACTACTTAGAACTGAATGCCCCTCATATTTGTTGGAAAAACTGTCTTGTGGAAATCGCATCCATTTCCGTAGAACCTGCTTCAATTTTCAGTATGAAATACGTAAAATAAGGAGTCCATGACTGAAAGCTACTTCTCATTACATCTGTTAGACTACTTAATAAATATCCTCAGATCAGCCAATCACACATTGCGCTTTTAAATTTCATTTAAAGAAATACCTCTTACTAGAAACTTAATCAGTTCTCTTTATTTTAATATTGTGTTTTTATCGTTTTTTTTTTTCGATTTATTGCTGGATTCATATCTTGTATGTAAAATTGGTATACTAAATGAAGTTTGCATTGTCTTGTTACATACTCGGTTAAGTTAACAGCTCAGCTGACCTTCGCCAGGCTTAAAATAAGGTTTTATTTATTTATTCATTTATATTAGTTGTTCATAAAGATAGGGAGGACATTTTGGCCTAATTATTTTGGAATACAGATATACCGCATGCAAAGCACCGCACAATGGTAAGCAATCCCAACCCGTCAAGCTCGTAGGAAACTCTTTGCCTTCGCCGAATTCCGAATGTTAGCCTTATACAAGAATTGTGGACTTTTTTTTGTAATAACTTTAACTCTAAAAATACTCTCTGTATACATAAAGTTAAACAATCCCATCGACTAGAAATTTGGCTTGGATGATATTCATGCACATTCTTTGACACTTAAATTTCTTCGGCACAAATAAACTTTTCGTTGCATATGTTAAATTAGTTTCTAGCATAAAGTTGATTTAGTATTCTATGTGTGGTAGGTAATTTATCTGTGTCACCCTTTCAAGCGTATCAATGTATTTTAAATTTAATGTTGAACTATTTTTTCAAAGTGTTTGATTGCTTGCTAAAATCATCCTATATTTTAATATGTTGGAACCTTCATAATCCACAGAGTTTTGAATTTTGTTACTATCTAAATCATGTGCTGGTTAGCTTCTTAATAGTAGCTCTCCCATTATGACCTTGCAGAATACTGGGCGCTCCAAAAAGGCACTTCTCCTGCTCTTCTGCTTTTAACTATGAACTTATACGCTTCATCACCATATCAATTAAATCATTTCAATCGTCATATTTTTATCTTTGGAATTAAACTCATTTCCTATACGGTGTCTGCTTTTACCTTCCTCTACGGGAACTATTAAATTTTGCTTCTCTCCAATAGACATTACGTCCAACCTACGTAAACGTTGATAATCCACGGGTTTTCTATTAACCACTATACTTTTGGAATTTTGAACTTTTTCTACTAACTCCGAGTATCGTGGCTATTCCATCCAAGCGTTGGGTGAAACGATGCTTGATATCACTTACGTCAACTGTTAACAACTGTTCCTGCAGTTCTTTTTTTATGGAAAAATCACCAACACTTAACAAACAAAAGTCCAAACTCAACGTAAGGTACACAACAATAAATACAAAAAAACATTGAAAACGTTCTGGAAATTTGGCAAGCCCAAGCTACCAAAAATGTTGTAATAGCACTATCTATATTGATCGGTCAATGTGAGCAATTACCATAAAGAATCGCAAATTTGTTAAATTATTGATACTGCCCTGGATAATCAAATTATCCGCAACATATTAAAATATTAAAAAAGAAATAAAAAATATTTACTGCAAAGCAAATTTTGATAGTTTGTTAAGTTCTATGGTTAGATCGGGTTTGACATTTCTATACACACAATACCTTTACTATAAACCGAACGGTCTGGTGCCGAGTTGAAATTGTTAACTCACCTTTACTTTTTTATCAATGGGAGGCTTTTCTAAAAAGTTTGTAGATGAAACGCCTTCGGTCCGTGGCATTTCTATGTACGTATCTGCATCCTTCAGCCTGTTCAGAGGCATCTCCCCTTCCGTCTTTTCCTCTTCTTCATTTTCTAACCCGCTCTCTGAAACAACAAAAAATATATTTAATTTAATTTAATTTGTTGAATGATAAAGTACCTGATTGCCCAAGAAATGAAATTTTCTTATTTCTTGTTGGCAAAGATTTAAATAAAAAAACAAATAGAGAGGAATGTAAATGAACTATCACATATTAAACATATAAAAAAGTATACAACTCGGAGTCACAAAAGATTTCCCGTGGTTTTCTCAAAAATGGGTCAACTGTTTCTAACTTGTATGACATATATATTGCAAAAATCTTAGATAACAAAGCACGTTGATATAATACACCGACTTTGCTAAGGCTTTTGATAAAGTTCATTGGAAAATTTATTTAATGAATTCGGATTTCACCTTAGATTGGTTAAGTTTTTTCAATCATATCTGCCTAACATCAAAACAACATTGGTTTTGCGGAGTTATACTTCCCAATCATTTATAGGTATATATATATATATATATATATATATATATATATATATATATATATATATATATATATATATATATATATATATATATATATATATATATATATATATATATATGGTTTTCCTCAGGGCTCTAATCAGGGGCTACTACTGTTTATCGTATCGTCTAGTCAGGAACGAGAATGGCTGTATAATGCTTCAAGAACATTTGAATGGAATTCCGAAATAAATTGAAATTTAATATTTTAAGTGCTGGGTTTTAAGCTTCAGTGAGGAAAAGAATTTAACAATCGTTAATAGTTTATCGATTAAAACACATGTAAATTGTATAACAAAAAAATGGACAGGTTCGTTGTAAGACACTGTAGCGGCTTTACAAATTTAGACTGTATTAAGCAGCTATATATAGCATATATCAGAAGCATTTTGCAATACGCCAGCGTAATATGTAGTCCATGTTAAAAAGTACATAAGTATGCTGTTGAAAAAGTACAGAATAAATTTCGGAGATAGTTTGACAAAACAAAAGAAATATTTTATAAATAATTTATCTATACAAAATAGTTCATAGAAAAATAGTAATAGTAATATTCCAGTTTACAGAACTAGAAAGCCCCAAACTAACAATTATAGTACCGCACCAATCAATGTAATGTGTATACTAGTTAGTAATAATCAGAATGCGTTTTCTATTTTAATGTAGCTATATCTCAACTGTGCAAAACACTGCTGTTGATATGTTATTAGCAAGTAACCTAGTTTTATTTTTTAAACTATGTTATATATACTCCCGTGTGTATGGGTCAGAGGTGTGCTGTCGAAGGTCGCGCTATACTTAGATTGTATTAGACCTGTCGCGTTTGTAAGCCAATAAATACATATTATTTAAATAAAAAATATGTAAAATTAGAATAAAATTTGCTTACAGCTATACAGTATATTTATTCATATAATTGGTCTACTTTTCTAGCAGCAAATGTTATAGTTTTTTGGACAAAGAACAAAGCATATCAGATGAGCTTTCGACATATTCAAGTACAGCTGATTACTATTCATTTAACTAATGTAATATTTATTTTTTGATATTTTCAGTTATTGTTGTAGAAACACAGTTGTGGCAAAAGCAAATAAAGTATATTGGCGAATTTCAAGATAAGTGAGTCCCAAATCGAATCCATGGGAGAAGAATGCCGTTTGCAATACAATAGAATTCAAGACAATACATTGTACAGAAAAAGTCATTCATAATACTAACCTAAAACAAAAAAATATTAGCGGGCCGTAACATACAATTTGTAATTAATGTTCTACATTATGATTAAAAAAGCGTTGACTTCTTTATATTATTTGGCAAATTATTCCAAAGTAATGGGAGGTTGTTTTTAAATTTAATTTTTAATATATTTATATTCTTTTGTGATGAAATATCACAAGCGTAGTTTTAGATGGATTTAGGTAAAGAGAGTGATCAAATAACAAACTACTAGTTTTTTATTCAAGTTATATTGCCAAATGGGTGCACTGCGGACGTGTTCTTTGATACTCCGAAATAAATCGTATTTATAGTATTTTACAAAATAAAAACAATACAAAAAGTGTGATGGGTGAACATAGTGGTGAATACCATTGATTGAGCAAGAAAAAATACGTTGTTTTTCTCTCGACGATTTTAATATTACAAGTGAAATAAATAAAAGTTTATGCGAGCAACAAAAACAATCTGGGATAAAATCATCAGATAAAAGCCATGGTTCAGATAAAATGAATAAAAAGGCCGGACAATCGAACGACGAAGACATTATGGATTATGATGAAATATTCACGCTAAAAAATAAAATAATGCGGACGCCACCTTTGGACAAAGGCCCTAACATTGTCAAAAATCAAAGCGAAAATTCAGAAAATATAGAAAATAATAAAAATAAAAGGCCACGATCGGATGGAAGTCCAGAAGTAGAAATTGAGTTTAAAAAACAATGAAATCAATTTACCCAAAACATACAGAAATAATATACAAATAATAGCACTTATATTGGGAGTTTACGAACATATAGAGAATCTAAGGTCGGCAACTAGTAAAGAGACAGAAAATGGAGATCCCATATTTTCTAAGGACGACCGAGAATTAGTCAGAAAAGCACAGATTAATATACAAATAATTATTAGCCTTATGGCGTACAGACTTGGTAATAAAGAAAAAGGAGAAATTGTAACAGACCAAAAAAATGTGACAATATTCCCAGTAGGACATATGCTACAGTCTTGCAACCCGAACAAGAAAAGCAAATGCCAGGTCTATTAACAAACAAGGAAACAACAAAAAAGTTAGAGACAGTAATTAGAGTGCATAACGTATCAGATCCAAAAGAAACAGCCAAAATACTAAAAAAGGAACTCACTTTCAAAGAAACGGAGGGGCTTGTAAGAACGTAAGATATTTGAAAAGTGGAGCAATATTGGTTTTAAATTGTAATGAGTCTCAACGCGAAAAATTAAAACTAGCATTGGAAAATAAAACCAATATGAACGTGAAAGAAATTGCTTGCCATAATCCAATGTTTGTTATTACAGGGATTCAAAAAGGATTCTCGGACAGAGAATTCCTCTAGGAACTAATTACACTTAACCAAGACATTGAAACTGAACTATCGTGCATAAATATTATTAATAATATAAAAATAATTGCTAAAAAGGATTGTCGGAATCCAGTCAAAGAGAACTGGATTTTGCAAGCACAACCTGATATTGCAAAACGGTTTTTAAAAAAAAGGGTAGTCAATTTTGATCTCGTCAAAGTGTACATTCAAGAACATGTAAATTTAGCCTTGCGTTTTAACTGCTCTGGATTCGAATACGTAGCAAGATACTGCAAGCCAAAACCATGCTGTCACCAATGTGGTGGTGAACACGCTGGAAAGGATTGCGTCTGGCCCGAACTGATATGTCCAAACTGTTTAAAAATGAAATTCAAAAGGGAAGACAGTCACCATTCGGCAAGAGACCTTAATTGCCCTGTATATCAGAGAAAATTAGCTTTCTACAAAAATAAAATTAACTACTCTAATAATTTTTTATAAAACTGAAAGCTAACCACACACCTACTGGTGTAACTGATAGAAACAAAAAGATAAAAAGTTTAACATTGTGCAGTATAACTCACCAAAATGTTCAGAAACTAGGGAATGCAACTAACAGAATGAACATTATGCTAGAAGAACATCCCGAATGTAGAGCTTTATGTAATACTGGACACTGGAAAGCAGAACATGAAATAAAGCAATTGGGAGTTAAAAACTTTAAGCTGGCGTCTATATTTTGTCGACAGGAAACATGGCGGTGTAGCGATATATGTGCATGTGCAGTGTACAGACCACCCTCCGGAGATATAAAAACATTTTTTGGTAAAATAGACCAGGTAATATCTCCAATATTTAACGAAAATAAACGTATTTTTGTGACTGGTGATTTTAACATTGAAACTCTGCAAAATAATAAAGTTTGGACTGAGTTCGTAACATTGATGAATTATTTCGATTTATCTCGGACTGTGTTTCAAAATACTCGAATAACTTCTACTTCAGGAAGTTTTATTGACAATATCTTTACTAAGTCAGATTCGGTTAAAACAATTGTATTAGAATATTACATTCCTGATCACGCGGCACAAAAAAATATTTTTGAAACACAGTCAAAAACTCCTGAGCTCCCGGTGTATACACGTGTTTTCTCACAGGGAGGGAGGGATGATTTTCTGTGTGAACTAAAAAGCCAAGACTGGACTGTGTTATGCGAATGTAACAAAAAAGATGTAAATAAGCAGTGGTCAATATTTATAAGTATGTATAAAATTATTTTTAATATGAAATTCCCTTTTAGACTAATATCACATAGCTTCAAAAAAGCTAAAACAAATCCGGAATTACAGGAAATTAAAAAAAGGCTAGACATTCTCTTAACCGTAAGTAACAATAATAATAAATATAAAGATGCTTACAAGCATACAAAAAAAGAATACGACAGTAAGCTAAAATATATTCAAACAAATAGCTATCAAGACCAAGTTATGAAATCTGATAATAAAATGAAATGTATGTATGTATAGCTAACAAATATAATAAAAATCTAACATCAATAGTCCCAAATATTCTTAAAAACATAAAACAAAATCCGTACCAATTCAGTGTAATACCTAATAACCAGTCAATGTACCTAAAACCTGTCACTCCTAAAGATATTCGTCAGCTAGGTTCTGAAATAAAAAATAAACATAGCAGTGGCATATACGAAATACCAACTAATATTATTAAAAATTTTGTAAATGAGTTAAAAGATATAGACGGGTTGAAAAAATCACTAGTGAAACCATTATTTAAGAAGGGTTTATTGCCTGGATTCTCCAAACTCTTTGAGCTGGCTACGTATAAACCCCTAATTAACTTCCTAACAAATTGTA